TCATTAACTACGTCGTCACTACAGAAGGTCTACGAAAGTTGAAATGTTGCTGCAATTATTGCAGTCTAAGCTGTGTGCCCCTGTGTAAATTTCGAAAAAAAAACTGACAATATGATAACAAACTTCCGCAAAGTCCCACAAAAAAACAAGTAATAATCAAATTTCACACATTTCTCCTTTTCTTGTCCCAAAGGTAGTTATGACAAGTATTTCGTGAAATCCATTTTCTTTGTATGAGGGTTTATATCTTATATATCACATAAATATATTTTATTGTATTGTTTGTGTTTTTCAATTAACATTTTTGAAGCCATGAGTAGTTTTGTCTTACTATTTATTTTCGCAGGTTTCAATATAATGTATAAACAGCGTCCATAAAATTATAAATTAATGCCAGAAATATTTACGATTTGACAGGATTGATGTATGTGTCTTTATTTCAGCAATCCGTAGAGGATGATCTGATTCAACAATCTTCATTAACCCAAATGTGTATGGATTTGACACTGTCATGAATATAAATAAAAATCACTTTGTTGATTAGAATTCATGTGACCATCCCATTGAAATTCATAAATGCTGAGGAATATTGTACAACTTCAAACTAATTATCTTTTCAGTCTGTTCACCCATCAATAATTGTGACCAAGAATATTGTACAACTAAAACTAACCAGAGATGTCGGAGATGTGAAGGATTGGTAGCAGATAAATCGTGGCAGCGAGCTTATATTATATCGACGGATAAACGATTGTGTAAAAGTAAGTTGTCCGGTAATTTGTTTGTATAAACTTTCAAAGCGTTGAAAATATGACATCGAATAATTCAAGTTTTTTGTTTATTCTGGCGCATTTCATACAGTCTAATTATCGAAATTTCAGTCGTTCCTCCGGAAAGCATGCAGTATGTTTTCACATAGTAGTGATACCAAGCAAGCAAGTAATTCTTACAATCTAAATTGACATTTAACCTATCTGCTTTTGAAAACGGCATGTCAAAGTCTCATGTTGGTTTTACAATGTCAATGTCAAGAGTCCTTCATTATATTTTAATCTTAAGATTTAAGATAAAAATTAAGATTTATGATGCAATTCGTGTACACTTGACAACCCCATTCACGGAAATTTAATACAATGTTAGGGATTGATCTTATTTTATTTATAGAGGCGTGTTCATGGAGACCAGACAGTAGATGTTATCCTGGTACATGTAGAGATGAGCTGTTTTCAAATTGTGATTGTTCTGATGGCTTTGCTGGAACTCACTGTAATAGAAGTGAGTGTATTAAACAAGATATGTAAAAAACTATGGCCTAAGCTAAGCTAATCACAAATAGTATTCACAGCTCACCGACGAAATTTGAGCCTTCAAAGCCATGTGTGTCCAGAGTTATCCGCGTTTACAATTCAAAATAACGACTCGCCATTTCTTAAGACTTCTATAGAAATAGACAGAGAAATTCCTTGTTTGAGGTATTATTGAAGGAATTATGCGATTTCTGTACATTTCTAGTACCTCTGAAGATTATTTACATATTATATTCAAGACCCAAGCAAATGGCGAATCTGCCCTTTTAAATGTAAATAATGTAATATTGGGGATATTTATTTTCGTTTTAGTTACTGCTATCCCTGATATTCTTTACAATCAAGTAACGCTAACTGCTGATAATGGTGAAACTGTTGATGCTCCTGGTGATTTTGGAGCTGGTTCTCCACAACCAATAACATGGACTAATATGATGAAATCAGCAAATCTATATTACTCTTTTAATCANACTACTATAAACAAACTTTACCG